AATCCAACTTTAATTTACAAGTTATATTTAATGATTTTATATTTGTCGTAAATCTCTGCGAGTTCATTTTTATAGAGTCATAACTCATAAACTTCATTATAAATTACAACAATAAAATATTAGTTAAACTTAATGACTACACACTAAAAATTTATTTTTACTAGGTATATGATCATTATTGCCTAGGGAACAATAAATTATTTGGTAAATTTAAAATTTAATAGTTGTATGTGAAGCTTCTTATTAAACATATACAAATATATCTGTTATGTCGTAGCTATTATTTTGTTAACAATTTTACAATAATTATATAAATGTCTATAGAAAATTTTTAAATGTACTTTATCAGAATATCCCTTTTTGGGTTTAATTAGACAGTATACTAAATTATTAGTTATTTTACATAACTCCTGCTACGATTACAAATTATAGACATTTAAAAACCCAAAAGTTTTGTTAAATTTAAATAAAAACAAATACGAAATTGTAACTATAAGTAATTATCGTACATTTTGATTTTTTATGCGTTTGTATGACGGATACAATATATGGGATACAACGCGCAACGTCCATTTAAGGTATTTACTATACTAAATAAAAAGTATCTTTAGTGGTTAATAGACATTAATATACTCTTCCTTGGTCTGGTTATGTACAGCTTAAATTATGAGTGTTTATGTACCTATAATAATTAATACAACATGTATGGTTTTTAATAACGCGTTTAGATTATTGTTGACCACCTGACAACCAATGTTTTAAACAAAAATAACTCGAATTTTATATTTGAATAAGTTACCAACTTTTTTTTTTAACTCACGATAAGCGAAAAAAATATGATCATTTAGTTTTTTTTTTAAATATTTAAAATTTTAAGATATAATAGTTGATATAAAATTGTTTAACGTACTATTTAAATATATCTTATTTAAATTATTTAATTAGTTATAATTTTATAAACTAATAAAAACTGTATGAAATAAAATTTACATTTATTTGGTTTAAATCTTAAAATATAAAATTTCTTACCTAATCCTTTGGATCAACAAAATCAATTGAGGAGCAAAACAATGCACATAAAATACTATATTTTTCTAATCAAAACAAATACATATTTCGTAACTATTGCAATGCTCAAGTCAAGTATAGATTATTTAACGATGCGTTACACCGCAGTACGCGGTCACTGATGATACTAGTTTAGTGGTCTGTGAGCTGTGAGTAGAGTTGTTCGGTTTAAAAAACATCATGCTATTGGCAGTAGAATAAACCAGTTTGCGTTTTATTGTTTCCATTGTTTTGATTCGCGTTTTAAAACGTTTACAAGAATAGTTAAATTATAGTTGACGAAACATAATCCCTATGCTATACGCGTACCTACATCTGACAAATTTTATAAAACCCATATATATAAAAATGACATAAATCATAAAATGCAGTGCACCTACCAAACTATTCACAAAATCTATATTTTAATATCATTGTGAACGATAATTCTATTTTTTAGTCACAAGGACTTAACATTAAGGATAACATGTTTTTCTTTGTCTATGAACTATTTTCACCGGAAGACTGATTCTGTTGACCAAAAACAAAAATTTTTATGATTTATACCTAATATGGAAACTATAAAAAATATCCATAGCAATAATTCCAAAGAGACTATTGTGTATGCTAAGGATTTAATAATTAAATATTTTATTAAATGTACAGCGAGAATTATTTGTAAAGAATATACAATAATGAGGTATCTCGATGCCTAGTGCGTATCAAAAGTTTCTTATACGGTTATAAGTTTATAACACTTTTAAACTCTAAATTATTAATCAATTATAAATATTGTCTGATAAGTTAAATGTAAAAATGTATTCAAAATATTAGTTACATAATTATAACTATTTTGTAGAGAAAACAATCAATGATTTTATATATCATGTTTTGGCAAGTTATGCCAAAACTGCAGTTTTTACTGAATTAGATGCAATTTATTTTAATTATAAGTCATTAAAATATAACTCTAGTTTTTGTCTTTAAAAACAGTGTTATGATTATTGCTTGTAGTCCATACTACATATTATTATAGAAGAACTACGTGACTATTACACCCACGTGGTTTTGCAGTGGAATTATTTTTCAAATTATATTTTACATCAAAAACATATTTGTACTACTCTACTAATAGTATAATTTTAAAATAATTAAAAAAGAGGGTTATTGTTTATATAATTATTTTGAGTTAATTGTTTTTCTGTATTTCTTAATACAATAGTTTTAAAAGTGTTTAAAATTTAAAAATGTTTTTTTAGTTTCATATATTCTGACCTTATAATGTTGTAAGTCACAAATACTTTAAAGTTCAACAAGTTTTTTTACTTAAGAAATCACTTTTTGATTTCATAAAAGTAGACTTTAATTGTTATATCAAAAATGTGTAGTAACTAGTCAATATAGCTATTATGTGTACAATTATAACTTAACATCCGAATAACTTCTTACAAGTATTAATTTTTTTTTTTTTAATCAGTTTGAAACTGTTTGATGAATTTAAACTCTTTTGTGTATAGTATAAACTACATAAGAATTTTTCAAAATTGAGTTTTGCGTTCTAACAATTATTTTTCGTTTAGGTAATAGGAACTAATTTATTTAATAAAATTTTAAAATATGTTGGGTAATTTTGCTAAACATTTTTTTTTCTTCAGAATTATGAATCTACGTATAAAAAATATAATGGCAAATACGTATTCACTGATTAAATACATTATTGAGTATTAGTTTAATAATTGTATGTATATGTCGTGCAAAATGTTATTTAGTCCATTGGGCATCGAGATCTTCTTATCAAAATAATTTTTAAACATTCCTCAAATTATTATATTCCTCAATTTTCCCGATTTTTCGTTACGCATACTCGGCGGATTTGACAGTAAACATATAGCATTATAGTTTTTGTTATTTTAAGATAATTTAGGCAAAAATTGGAGAACAATGAATTTTTCATACCTAACAAAAAAGGAGTGAGTATAGGTAGAATCTATCCCACCGTTGAGGAAAAAGTCGTTATAATATTATGTATGTAGGTATTAAATTTGAACCGATTAATTGAATGACACATCAATACATAAGAAAAATTATTCTGAATGAAGGCAGTTCTTCTGCTTGAATTATAATAAAATCATATTGTAAGAAATCGTTATTTTACCCATGAATATTCAATCTTGTCGAAATTCTAATTTTATAAACTCTTATAAAAAATATAATGACATTTATTTTTGATATTTTTTAATTGGTATATGAACAATTTACAAAGAATTTTGCATATTTTACAAGATTTTCGACGAATGAAATTTTTTTATCAACATATACAGGCAAAAAATCTTTAAATTTAAATCTATTATAAAACTATATACCTACCTTAAAAAAAAAAAACATATTGAAAATCTTATCATAAATATTAAATGCTAATATTATAAACAGTTGATGAATTCAAGTATCAATTAGTATTGATTTGCACCAAAACATAACATCGATTTTGTTTGATATCGTATTTTTTGCTTAAAACTTCTCATAATTTTTTTTTTTTTGCTCCGTTATTCTCGGTTATTTTGAAAATTACTGGGAATTTTTAAAATCATCACCAAAGCTTAAAATCAAAACGGTTTTACTACTCAAAAAAGTGATAATGGATCGAAAAACCCACACACTGTAATGTTACTAACTAGTAACTACCTAAATTTCTTGCTCTATTTACATTTAGCATCAAATACGACCTTAGCTTAATATTTTCAGTTCCGTAATTCATAAACTATTATAGATAAAATCTTTATTAAATATCGTGTCTTTGTATGATACTATGACTTAAATTTTTTAACAATTTTGATTTAAAAAAATAGTCATATTATGACACCTACGTGGTATATTTATCGTTGCTTGGAGATTACAAGGCCAAATTATTTTCCCATGTTTAATGTGTTTCATAAGATCTGTTTGTTTAGTTTTTTAAGTTCTTACATAGGTAGTTAAATAATTAAAAAGAAAAAATATGAGTAACGGTCTATACTGTACCTATACAGTATAGTATAATGAGTGTTGAATACATTTAAATAGATAATTAGGTTATTATATATAGGGATAACCAAGAAAAATGTATATTATTATTCTTTGTTTATATTATGTAATTTTTAAATTAAATTTTTTTTTTTTGAGTATGCTAAATGCAGATAACCATTATTTCAGTAAAAATTATTGTTTTAAACATAACATTTGGACGTATGAATTCAAAATTAAATATACCTAATTAATACTTTATAGGAAGGGTTTTTCCAAATTTTAATTCAATGACCGTACAGTTGAATACAAGTTAATTTATATTACATTATACTATGGTAAATTAAACAAGTTTTTATTATTTTTTAGTATAATAACTTAAAATTTGTTATGCATCGAAATTTATTATTTCCATGTCATCATATCATGAAGTGATGAATACAAAGATTTTTTGTTAAAATTAGCAATTTTGAAGGTTCGAAATTGTAGTAAAGTAGGTATTTATTTTGTTATTTTTAACGTTGAACTATTATCACCATTGTATTAATAATGTGTTTTGGCTAGGCATTCATAACTGACAACTTATTAGGCTTAAAATAAAAATTAAATGTTACTCAAATCATTTTTATAACTTTATTAGGTGCTGTATCCAATATATTTTGAAAATCTTTACTCGTAACTATTATTTTTGTGAGATATTTACCACCTTAAAAACATTCTTAAACTATTCTAAATTTAGCTTCATTGAAAAAACATTTTTTTTTTTTAATTTGATATCTACTAAATATTTTATTATTGATAAGCACTTTTTTTTTAATAATACACTTCACTGTACCTACCTATCTAATGCGTGCCGAACTGTAGAAGTTTTTATTTCATCTTCGATGTTGGAATTAATTATGTAGTATGATTATATTATTATATTAATCAAAATTAAAATATTATTTTCTTACCTTTCGACAACCATCAGGAATTCTTTATTGGTCATAAATGATCATAAAAACTAAATTAATTTTAATTCATTAGTTGTTTAATTGTTTAAGTTAACATTTTTTTTTTTTTTTTGAAACTTTAAAAGATTTAAAGAATTTTTGTTCAAGCCTAAAATCTTTTTCTTTCTTATTACGATTGTAAACACACTTCTCAAACCCCAAAATATTAATATTTAATTTTATGTTATTCTAATAATATAATGCAAAGAATATCAAACACAGAATCGCAAAACACCTTCAAGTTTACGCAATACGTATGAACTGATTGATGACAATCGGCACTCTGTTTCATATAATGAGTACTAAATTCTTTTTATATTTCGCGCAAACCTGTAATTCATATATTACATTAATTTTAATTGAATTTTTAAACATTAGTATAAGTGTTGTGTTATGATTAGGTATCGTATCTGTTAAGATATTGGCTGGAAATTATTAGAGAGATAAGGTAACGTTCAAGGATACCAAGGACGTTCGCAGAGGGCTATATCAAAGGAGGAGAAACGAAGAAAAATTTAATTCAAAACAGTATAACACAATGTTATGCCTTGTAACATTATATCATGTGATCGTGCGATCATACTCAGACAGCATGAAGGTGGGGCAAACGTTTCAAACTAGAACAGATTTAAGTAGGGTTAAAATCCCATCTGTCCGCATTAATAATGTATATATGGTCTGTAGACTTATATCCTCCTCGAGTAAAATACCAAAAAGCGACAGTACAACTTGAGTCCTTGAACATAATATTATTATGTTTGTCATAATGAGTATTGTAATCGTAACATATTTTATCATATTTGACTAAGAAAATAATAGTTGTTACACATTAATATATTGTCATGTAATAGTATCCATAATAATAATTGATCATATCATACAGTAGAATTTTTTTAATTTATCAGGGAATGGTCAAGTGTATGTGGTAATCTGGTTGGAAAATAATAAATTAATAATAACTTTTCATAATTCCTGGAATTAAAATAATACTGTAATACATAATTATATTAAACAAATGTACCTATCTAGAAAAAGTAATTTTGACACTTTGAATTTCTTCCATCCATTTTATGCTTACGACTGCAGTGACAAGTACATTTCAAAATTATTTTTTAAATAAAAGTTAAAAGTATTTCTCAGAGGAAAAAAATGACCAAATGGTTAGTGATTAAATTAAATTAACTTCACTGTTTTCGCAATTTTTTGACACCTCATTACATCATAATATTATATACCTATTTCTATACATTAATTTTAATAAACATTAAGTTCAATGGGATCCATTCACCACTAAGTACCTATTAAGTACTTAATATATTATTATCTAAGGTGTAAGGATTTTGCTAACAGTATAGTAATCAAACTTCCAGTTATTATTACGTAGCGATGACACTCAAAAGGATCAAATCAGTGGCCCCTACAAAAATAGCGTACCGTGGAGAGAAAAGTAGTCAATATGAAGTGGCCTTATCTTAAAGTTTCAATAAATATCGGGCCATGGCCTTAACTTAACAGAAGGATTCGATGCCACTGGATCAAATAATGTTTGTTTTAAAATTGTTCTATTACATTTTAAATTATATAAACTACTAGAATTACTAATTATTAATAAACAGTATCATAACTCATATTTATGATGAGAATTCGTTAGCATATCGACCTAATTAATATAATATTAATATAAAAATTAATATATGTCTAGGTATATGTTTTGTAGATTTAAATCACCAGAAATAACTTCCTGCACAGTTGGTTATATTATATAGATACTTTCCAATGTAAGTCTTAAATATGTAGTTAATCTACATATATGATATCGTCATATCGGCAGTGACGATCTTTTAACGCAACACTATGAACACCAAAGTCCAAAAGGTATATAATTTTGTAATTTCAATAATATCACAACGGTTGACACCAACCTAGGTATATGGTGTATCTAGTAAAAATAATAAATAATACATTTTCTTAGGTAAACCTTCAGCGTGAATTAATAAGTAATCAGCCTACGGGTCTCTGCAGGTAAGTCAGAAAAATATCATATTTTTATATTCCATAAAAGTTACCTACCATTATTCCTGATGAGACGTTATATATAATATAGGTACTAAGTAACTCCTTGCTATGTGATCGCTGACGGCAGGGTGAAGCGCTTGCGCATTAAGTACCTCCACAAGTAAATACAATATACCTACTGAATAACCCTAAATGATCGACGAATAATCGAAAGACACCGCCTTATAATTGTGTATAATAAAAGTGCTTAAATTATAGTTTAAGCTTTAAGTTGATATTTGTCTTTACGAAAAAATTATATGAAATATAATTCCTCGAACAATTAACAAACTATAATAACGTCAGTCTAAAAAAAAAACATTTGTTGAAAATGGTTCATCGAGTTGTTTTATTGCACATAAGCCAAACTGTGTATAAATGATTCATCAACTTACCAAAGTCGTAGCTCTTTTGTTGTTGTTGTTAATATTAAATATTTTCATGTGTAATATATTAATATTAATAGTATTTTTGCAGTAAAAATCAGATGAAATTGTGATGCACACAATTGATGGAAATCAACTTCATCAATTGCGCAGAAGACGTTAAGATTGTGATCGAATCGAATCTTTAACACTATGATTTGTTCAATAGCGTGATGCTATTTTGTTTCTTGGTAAAAACATTTTTGAACATAAAGTGTTCCAAAAGATTCACATAATCAATTAATATGTAGTTGTATATATTTGAGGACATTAAAATTATAAAATGTATAACTGTATTTAAAAAAAACAAATTAAAAAAACTGGTGTGCGAGTACACATATCATTATAATATTTTACCACGATTTTAAATTTGTTCGTTATTATAATGACGACCTTGATTTGTAACAAACATAATAAACACGTGATTTTTTTATATTTGACTGTTTAATATTGGTACCGTTCCTACATTTTTTTTTTAAAGTCGCGCATTTAATTAAGTTTGTTAATTTTATATAAAAAACATATTATAAAAAATATACAGGAAATATACGCGTACTACATATCGTGAATTAAATTTCAACAGTATATGAAAACCTTAATTTTTAAGCGCCTATAATAATAGGTGTAGTGTGTAAAATATATTAATTAACCTGCATAAATAGTATCAATAATATAATATACAAATATTGAAAAGTAGAGTAGTATAGAGTACATTAACAAAATGCAGTTACAAAATGCAATTACTATATATAGTACCTACGTCCTACACTTATCTATAGAAATGTTTTTTCGAGCGTTGAACATTTTCTTTCCAATCTCCTTGCAATGTGTATAATAATATGTGTCTAATACATTTCAGTACAATATACAAAATATAGGTAATTTTTTATGTTATGGTGTAGAAGGTCTTTGTAATAACCCGACGCACAACTTGGAAATGTTTGGACAGACGAGTCTGGCCTGTATAATATTATGGTACAACAAATAATCGATATAACATGTAGTAGGTATAGCATGAAATATAAATATTAGTGCATAATAATATACAATATAATGTGGTTCTTTGAACTGTGATGCAGGAATAATTCATTTTGTTAAAAAACATAAAGGATGTTGGAGCACTGCGTTTTTCTTGTGGTTTTAGACAGATAAGTGGAAGATTAGCTTACGTACTTCCTGACGTCCAACTAGGTACTGTTTTTTTAATGTAGATATGTACGAATTTACTAACCTGTTTTCTAGGTTACGCACAGAAAACATATTCTTTATTTTTATTAAACAAACCTTATGATAAAAATTAATTTAAAAAGAAGAAATTATTATTTTCGATTCTATACATCAGTATTTTCGAATTAAATTGTAAAATGTAAAAAATATTTCCTACATAACATACTAAAAAAATGTAATAAAAATCTATAAATATTTTGACAAAATATAAATCAGACCGAATTATTTAGTGTTTCAAACGATTTTTGTATCATAACAATTTCCACTAGTATATAKGTAAATTATTATACTTTCGATAATTCTCTCGCAATTATACGTTTCATATTGTATTATAATGAATTTCCAATATTCCGAATTGTACGTGCCAAAATAACTATAATAATGCTTCTCCAACTACAAAATTTCATTTTTTGGTAATGTAGGATTCGTACAATTATTCTAGTCACTACTTTTTGACATGATAAGTGTACGCTAATCAAATAATCATTATGTGTAATAACTATAAGTATGTGTATATCTATTAAGCCACGTAAGTCGTCTACAATTATTATGATATTACATTCTATTTTTTAAAAATATTTTAGTGTCTTAAAGTATCATTTATATACCTGCAGGCTAAAGCTTTAGTTGAATTTTATAGTTTAATTATATTTCGCAGTATTTATCAACCTGTGGTTGTACCACTTGTGGTACGTGGAATGCTCTGTGTGGGTATCCTAAGAAAATCTCTCTTTATAAAAATAATATAACGGAGCATAATAATAAATAGTTATTCACATTAAACATTGGGTATTTCGTTTACTCGATGTTAATAATAATAAACCTAATTCTACATATCTTATTTTCTTTTTATGGCTTAAACGCTTATAATATTATAATTTTGTAGTTCCTATAGTGGATTACAATTCCAGACATATATTATAACATATAACGTATACAATTTTTATATAAGCGAAAAAAAACGTTATTTGGTCATGTGTAGGTGGTACCTACGCGACTTTAAAAAGGTTGAGAACCGCTAATATGTCGGGTCATCGTCGGTTATAACTATTATAACTTATAAGGAATCGTTCTTGTTAAATATAATATTAAATGTTATTAGTTTAAAAATAATATCAGGATGTGTTAATAAATTACGTTTATTTTATTACAATAAGCAAAATTAAAAATATTATTAATCTAATAACCTAATCCTTATAGCCAATGTATAATAGAAAATTGCATTACCTACTCAAGTCGACTATGACATGTAAACACTTTGGTTTATAGTTGTAAGTTTTTAGCTGTTACCTTGTTCATAGTACTAATAAGCTGCCAAAAACTCAAAAACCCGTCTGCATCAGGAAAACTGTCCCAACGACAATTTTGAATTTTTGTAAAATAACATCCAGTTTGTTTACATCATATGTATTATTATCTTTTTACACCTCGTCATGAATAAATGGGTAGGTACTTGTGAAAAAAAACATGTGAGTTTCCTGCATAAAACGTGTTTATGAGTTATTGTGTATGTTAAACATACAAATGAAGAAAAACACTTTTATTCCC